AATAGTCGAGTGCCCTAGAGTAATGTTCACTAAAGATTCTATCAAAAGAGAGAGTGAATAGTCGAAATTGCTTGTCACTTTAGAAATTGGCCTTTGAGAGAGACGTCGGGCAGGATCTAGACTTTGGTTAACCCTCTTGCAATTTTAAACATCACAGCCAAATGCCCCAGAATGGGAGACACACGTAGCATTTTCATCAGAAGAGAGATTAATCAACTAAAAAGTCTCCAAAGCATGAAGCTTAATCAAATGAATTTACAATAGACAAGGAAGTATCTGGATGTAAGGAATTGAGATGGTAATAACATACTTCTAGGGCTTCTTCTATCTTTGCTTTAAAGCTTTACCCCGTGGATTCACTTGGGGGAACAAACACTAACTGCTGATGAGAAGATCAGAGAGCTCAAAGCTGTGCAGAGTTCCCCTGATTGAATAATCGGGTACCCTGGTGTGGTAACCACATATGGTGTTAATAACAAGATTTGGGAAGATAATTGTAGATGGTACTGAAGTATGGAGCCTAACCCACTGCAGCTCAAACAAGCATGGAAAAAAAATAGAATAAATCACTGAGACGGGATCACAACGGCTCTCCAGACCTATTCTTCCCTTGCTGATAAAAGATATCCTCTTGAATTCCACTAGGGAATGGGAACCATCTTCTGATAAAACATTCTAGGTACTCAAGATAATAAATGAGACCCACAAGGCATTCCATGGTTTGAAAGAGATCCCAAAAGATGAGGAGAAAGAATAACTCATGATGCAATAGTTAATGTAGGATTGCTGACACTATTATCAAGACTTCCCAGATCTGGCTCCACTGAGTCTTCAACTGACTATCTTCCTTCTTGAAGAGTTCCCGATCACGGGCCAAGGCTTGCATGTATATCACACGGAGTTATTCCATAACTGACCTCTGAGCATGTGACAACAAGAATTCAAGTCTATAACTCTGAAGAGAGCACCAAATCCGAATAAGAATCCCCAACTTTAAGCACCAGTTATGAATGCGTGAATATGCATCATGTGCATGAGTGGATGAAATACCATATTCGATCATTTCCAAGGAACCCACATGCTTTTAATTTTGATTTTAAACCAGTAAGAGATAATGAAGGGCAATAGAAAGCTCACAAGCATGGTTCCTTGGTAATGGAAATAACATGTGTGTTAAAATGATGTTAACATGTTATGTATGCAAGAACACGAGATCAAGGTTCCATAAACATGGACAATGGTTACATTGTATCTTCAGTAAATAATGAATATTACTGAATCAAAGGTCCGACACCACCTTGAAACACAAAAGAATCAAGTACCAAGTGGATCAGTGACTGCATGAGACCAAAATGTCCCTGTCATAAAAGATAATTGTAGAACTGCCGAAATAAATGGCCATCACAAGGTGAGAAGTTCGGAGAAAAAACGAGAGAACACACAGTTACCGACAGGATCAAGTCACCATCAAAAACACACAGTAACTATTGGAACATGGTCACCAACAGAACTCGATTCACCAACATAACCAGAGTCACCAACAAAACTCAAGTCACCAACATAACCGGAGTCACCGTTAGAAATAGAGTCACCATATGTACCTATAATAATTAATCATCCCTCCCCACTCACGGGCGAAACTAGGTTAGGGGAAGGCAAGGGTAACTCAGAATCATGGGTACGCCTGAAGCCACTATCGTCGAAACACCAATGTGAAACGATAGCACCCTATTTGTAATCTCATCTGAGCGTGGATGACATGAGCGCACTAACAAACCAAAGTCGATTAGCCGTTCATGTTCCACTCTATTCCTAAGGTTCCTATGGTTGTCACTTAGCCTGGGTATTGGGCCTTTTACCTCTTATAACACCCACGCAACATGATAACAGAGCCAGCACATTAGATAACCAAATATATGGAAAGCGATAAAATGCATGCACCAACATATGCAAGCAAGGTATATAAAGCTTTAAATAACGTGAAATAAATAAACACCCAAAAAAATAAGCAAGCAAAAGCTAGGATCGACTCAGGGATGGACCAGCAATAGGTCAATCTTTCCATATCCCCAGTGAAGTTGCCAGCTGAAACAACCTGGCCGAACCGTCATCTGATTATGAAATCAACGAAGTCGCCACCGAACGTCTTTTATCCCACCGAGAGGGGAAATGTGAACATCGATAAAACATGAAGAAGGTGAAATCACGATCTTGCGACCGAGAGATCAGGTAAGGGAGTCTGTTACGCGAGTGGAATGTATTAGCACCCCACATGCCTGTAGTACTCTACGGTATCCACTCTTGTTTTTCTAATCTAATGGGTGTGTAAATCTATATCTAAAGGTTAGTAGCTAAAAGAAAATGCAAAGAGGGAATTCATGAAAGAGAAAAGAGAAAATAATGTAGGGAAAAATAAAAGTTGTGCTCGCTTGGGCCCTACCCCAGTGCCTATGTATCCCTTTTAAGGAATCAGAGCATCCGTAGTTCGGCTCACATATTTTGGTTGGTTTGTGTTTTTTAGTTAAGGAAATAAAAGCAGCAGACAAAATGACAAAACATCAGAGACAATAACAAAATGTCAACAATGAGGATAGAATAAGAAAAAGATATGACAAGACATCTTATGGCAACACAAACTCAGATAAGGCGGTAAAACGCCAGCATGATAGCAAACTATCAGACAAGATGATGAAACATTATACCTAACAATGATATTGAAAATAAAATTGGATTACAATCATGTGCGATGGTGAAACATCGGCTACAAACATGTGCGATGGCGAAACATCGGCTAAAAGAATGTGTGCTGGCGAAACATTGGCTAGGAGATAGGAAGATAACGTGGAAAACATGGCGAAACATCAATAAACCAGAGGACAAAACATCACACCTAACAATGATATTTAGAATCAAAGTAGGATAACAAACATGTGTGGCGGTGAAACATCGGCTAAAAGAATGTGCGATGGTGAAACACCGGCTAAAAGAATCAAAGATAACATGGAAAAGATGGTGAAACATCAATAAACCGGAGGATCAAACATCACACCTAACAATGATATTGAGAATCAAAGTAGGATAACAAACATGTGCGATGGCAAAACATCGAATTCAAATAAATATGCAATGGTGAAGCATCGGCTAAAAGATAACTGGGTATCATGGCAAAGATGGCGAAACATCAATAAACCAAATGGTAAAACATCACACCAACAATGATATTGAGAATCAAAGTAGGATAAAAAAACATGTGCGATGGAGAAACATCGGCTTCTAACAAATATGCGATGGAGAAAAATCGGCTAAAAGATAACAAAAAGTCATGGCAAGGATGGAAAAATATCAATCTGATAAGATCTAAAACAAAATCCAAGAGGCGCACAAAAAAATAAGATTGGTTTGTATTTTTTACCTTAAAGAAGGGTTTAAGTTCTTTAGAGGTATTTTATGATTTGCCAAGAAGAAGTTTTAGTTTTAAGATGCAAGAATGCAAAGGAAAAGAATACAACTAAGGGAGACTATCCTAATCTCTAGCCCTAATGCTATCGTACAATGGTTGATCTTAAGGTTGAGTTTTGAAGGGAAATCTCTACCCTATGTTGACATGCTTAGATAACCATCCTAATGTCTTTCTCAAATCGTCATCTGTAGATGAATCAAGAGGTCCTAAAGGAGCATAGCAAGGGTCTATCATCTCAAAACATGCACACAAAGATGAAATCAAGCAAGCAAGCCAATTATCTCAAGAGAGCATACCTAGAGAGATCCTATCTAGGCTATCATGCCAAAGAAAGTCTAACAGAAACTATCCTATAGGGAACATGCAATGAGAGCGAAGTCGTGATTTCAATTTCTAAATTGAGTGACTCATCGATCAACAGGAAATAAAGGAAAGAAATGAAATCCTATAGGGAGCATGCACTGAGAGAGAAGTCATGATCTCAATTTATGAATTGAGTGACTCATCGATCAACAACCAAGGAAACAAACACAAGCACAATACATATATAAAATGAAGTGCGGAATGCCTGCTACAAGTCTTTAAACAGCGACTTCGAGCGCACACTCTTTATTTTCTACTTCTCATGATATCTAAAAAAATAGTAAAATACTGGAATGAGATAAACAAGGGAAAATACCAAACGGATATCAATCTGTAGCAAAGCCTATCAAAACAAAGAAACTCGACAATCTTCGCGAAAGCTTCACCAATCAAAGAAAAGAGTTAGAAATCAAATGCTCGAAATAAGCATCGACGCATCATCGATGTGAAAATAAATCAAAATAAAAATCTCCAGCGCATCCGCATGTCGTATAATAAACCTGCATAAGATTCACATCTCAACAAGCAAAGGTGAATTATGAATCTCAAATATAATTGGATAATCGGAATTTAATTCCTAAAATCAAATTAAGAAAAAACTAACAAATTTTTATATTTGATTTTATTATTGTTGATTATGTAAAAAAGTTCAAACAAATCTAAACAATTCACAAAATTATTTAAAAGAAAATATTAAAACTGAACAGTTATCAAAATTATTTAAAAGAAAATATTGAAACTAAACAATTATCAAAATTATTTAAAAGAAAAATTTTTAACTAATCAATTATCAGAATTATTTAAAAGAAAATATTGAAATAATAAACACAAGGGTTGCAAACTAGAGTTCTGGAGGTATGCTGAAGTAGTCTGGTGCTAGGCCCAATTTAGAGTCCATAATGTTGTTTTTTTGTTGCAAAAGACAGGCTCAAGAGGGAGGTGCAGAAGTGATCTGGCCGCTAGGCTCATGCAGCTTTTGAGTCCATAATATTTTTATTTGATTGCTAACCTATTGCAAAAAAAACGAATGGGCTTAGGGAGAAAGTTTTGGTTCAACAATAATACAACCCATTTGCCAGATTTTGATTATTATTGTTATTATACAATTTATAAAAAGTAAGTGAATAATAAAATAATACACAAAACAAAGAAATTGAAAAAGGGATTAGGGTTGGAAATGGATGTGTCATTGCAGTTCTTACGAGAACAGAGTTCTCTTCGTCTTATCGAACTCACAACCACGGCGTCCTACTTCTCGTCTGATTCATCTTCTCTGGTCTTTGATTCCAAGTCTGCTATGATTTATCTTGGACTTGCCCCCGTCTTCAACAAACTCAGCCGCAATACCTTCATGCTAAGATACGTTGGCCGCGAATCCATCATCCCAACAATCGACCTTCGTTTCCTTCATAATACTCTTCAACCTCTCTGTCTCAATCTGTCATCATTCTTCATCCTCACCAACTCTCAATTTCGGGTGATATCAATACCTCACGATTGTTCGATACATCTTCACTTGTGATAGCGGTTGCAACAAGAACCATAGGGTAGCCCCTAGTGATTCAGGTACGCATTATTGATTTTACTCCATCTCTGATTCAAACTTCCCCTTTTCCTTTCCGCGTGCGTTTGATACTCACATTGATGTGATATGAAGCAGATTGATGAAGACGTAGTGGTTGAAATTGCATGGAGTTGAACATGCCTAGTTTTTCTTGACTCATAAGATGATGAATCTTGAAGGTGATTAAAGATTTGTCGAACCTGGAAGATGATGAAGAACGATGAGAATCAAAAGTTGAAGCTACATGAAGATGCGCTGAAGATTGAAGAAGTTGCAGTGGCGTCAAGAATGTTGTTGAAAGTTGTAGACTGCAGTAAAAGAGAGGAGTGATTGAAGAACGATGAGGATGAAAATTCTTATGCAGAGAGAGATTTTTTGTGGAGTTTTCTGTGATTTCTCTCTATGAAGATTGAAGATAATGCGGTCATGATGAATGAATATTTATGAGTGATTCAGTTACAGATTGTAGAAAAAACTCAGAGAGAGTTGAAGAGAGATTACATAGAAAGTTTGTTAGAGATTTTCTGAAATAGGCAGAATCATCCTGGATTATAAAGGAGATGAGGATTATATAGCAGTTGAAGTGTAGAAAAGTTTGTTACAACAAGGATCATTCTCAACCTTTGATCTAAGAGTTAGTTACAAAAAAAACTGAATGGTGAGAGTTGAATCACTGATTTTATTTTCACCCTTTCTATTTTTTGTTATCAGCGGAAGTGTGTTGCAACTTGATTCAATCTTGGCTGTCAATTATAATTTTCGGTTAGAGAAATTGAATGGTCAGGATTGAGTTTGTGAAGCTTGCTTTAGAAGCCTTGGATAAATTGTTGAGCTGTCAAATAATTTTCTGTAATTTTTTCTCTGATTTGATTCTAAATATTTTATGATTTAATAATTCCTTCTATATTCCTAATGCAAAACTTTCTTCTCTTTTTTGTTATCACGGTTTCCTATTTCTAATATTTCTGATCTCTTCCTGATTTTTCTCTTATCCTCTTTTTCTGACTTTGTGAGCTGGACACTTCTTGTTTCTGAACTGGTTGCTAATCTGATGTAAAAAAAGATTGACGAGGATGATGAGGTAGCGATGAAGGATTTGTGAATTTTCCAGTCGATCAAGTCCTTTCCCGGTAATATCTTTCTGACTTTTCGAAAGCTTCTTCTCCTCTTCTCTTTCTCTTTGTATTCTGAAGGGTTTTTGAATGAGGGAAAACGATGATACCCAATTAGGGCTTCTGACTTTCTGTTTTGTTTTTATTTTGTGATTTCATCATTTCATTTATTTTTACTGATAGGCTGTAGTTTCTGTTATGAGAACTTTTGATGTTAGGCTGGACCTTTTCTGTCTTGTGATGATTTTTCTGATTTCTGATATGCTTCTGTTGCTTATTCAGTTATGAACTGTGATGCCATACTGGGCTAGAATTTTGCGATTCTGTTTGCAAATCTGTTTTTCTTGTAGTGATTTTCTTGTTTTAATAGAACCGTGCACTTTGCATACTTGCTGAACCGTGACGTTATTTTTGTGAAACTTGTGTAGTAAGGTTGCTCGTTCTGAACTCTACTGAGAACCAAAACTCATTTTTGTGATTTGTAGTAGATGGAATTTGGCCCATGATTGCTTGCTCGAAAAATGATATGTGTGAACCACAATTGTATGTGGCTTTAATTGTATTGCTTGAACATGATTGAAAAACACCCTTAATTTTCTGATTCCAAACTCAAAGCCCTAATGATGAAAATTGAATAGAAAACTCCTTTGAAAATTATTGTTTATGTTCAATTGTTTTTTTTATGATTGCTAACCATGTCTCTTTTCTTTGTTTCATGAGCAAGTGGTGATGACGATGTCAGGAAGCAATGAGTGAACAGTTGAAAAGATGTATGAATCTGTCTACATCGGCTTTCTGCATTATGTGTGGTTTATATAACAATAAAGAGTGATATTTGATTCAGTTTTGTTTTATGTGATGTAATATATTTGGATTTTGTAATGGCTTGTAATGTACTTGAAATAGTTTTGAATGAATCATGCAACTTTTGTAACAGACTTGTACAAGAATTTATGTAATCATATTGATTCTTTCCATCTTGTTAACCCTTGATATATTGGTAAATTCCAATCTAAAGCAACCTTCCTTTTTCAAATTTTATAATCCTTTTGACTTTGAAATGGTGTTGATGGAATGATGATGTAATGAAATTCAAAACTAAGATGCTTTGATCTTGTAAAACATAACCTTGTGAGTTTTTTGCATTCAAACAGTATATTCTTCAAGACAAATCTCTTTCAATTTAGGACTTGAAATTCCATTCTTCTCTGGCCCTTATTGCTAGGCAGTTTATAGTGTGCAAAATTCCACAGTGTTCTATACCGTAATTCTTCTAACTTTAGGATGTGTAACCATTTGCCAAACTTGAATCAAAATAAACACTTGTATGGATTTTGAATCACTATTAAACTCGAAGGAACTTGAATAACTTAGTTTGAGATTTTCATGACAAAGAAAGAATTTTGGGAGAATTTTTTATGATCTTGATTTTTTGGTAACATATGAGAACAGTGATTCAAGAATCAACACTTGCAAATTCAATTCTTTGAAGGCACAAAGAACCAGGTGAGATATCCCGAGGCTTTGAAAGGATTTAGTAACCCGAATGATCAAAGTAAATGAGGAGATGAGATCCGTATTGGGCTGATTGTCAATACAACCAAAATCCATATCTTGTAGAGAACTAAAGAACCTTGATCTCATAAAATGCATGAATGTGATGTAATATGATGATTATGATGAAACATAAGCCTAAATCAAGAGGGTAAATTTTGGGGTGCAACACTTTGCAATCTCTTCCTTAGCTTCTTTATGATCATCTCCTTCTTTGAGAAAGAAACCCTTCAAATGAATGCTATTTGGCTTTCCTCTCATTAGATATCCAAGTTGACAACGCGCGAGAACGGAATTATAGTTAATTCCTCCCTTTGTACCAAGAAGAGGCACATTGGGGAAACTTCCATAACTATCAATTATTTCCACATGATAATAAGCTTGATGATATCAATCAATGTTAGAATGAGTGAGAGCCATAAGCTTCAGGGCCCAACGAGGTTCCTTATTGGGATCCTAAAAAGCAACAATCTGAGGTAAGTGAGAAATAAACCACAAATATAACAATGTCGTGCAACAGATGATCATTCCTCCCTGATAATGATTCCGAAGGTGAATGGAATAATAAGTGTTTCCTAGCAAGGTAGGGGCTGGATTCCCAATCAAAAAGATACTAATGGCATTGACATCCACAAATTTGTCAATATTAGGAAACAAGAAAAACCCATAGACAAGCAAAACAAAGATAGCCTCAAAAGCAATTGTACTCTTCATCTTAACAAAGTAACGAGATTTCTCCAATAAAAACTAAGCAGGTAAACCTTTGATTTCTCAATTGGTAATCATGTTAGCCTCAATCTTGGAATTCTTCAAATGAGTCACAGTAGAAATATCATGAGACTTAGACTTTCTCTCTAAGTCGGTGAAAGGAACACGATCAGTAATAGGTAGACCAAGTAAGTAAGAATACTCTTCCAATGTAGGCATCATGTGATAATCTGGGAAAGTAAAACACCGACACAACGAATCATATAATTGGACCAAAGTAGAAAGAATACCCTCCTTCATCTTGAGATTCATAAGAGACCCGACGGATCCATACTTCTATCGGAAATCTGTAGAGCTCTAAATCTCAGGGATCAAACTCATCAGTTCCTCTATCTTAGGATCCTTGAAAGTATACTTCTGAGTCTTTTGTTTTCCAAAATCCATGGTAAAAAATTACCTGAGATATTTTCAAAAAGTCAACTTTAAGTCCCTTGAAACAATTGTTTTAAAGAATGCTTATGGGTGCATGAATGCATGATGCAACAATCACACACAAGATCTCAAACACAGTGGGTTCATAGGTTCAACATCACGAGCATGAAGTTAAAGGTACTACCCACAAGGTAAGGACTAATTGTTTATCACCTGCCGAACAAGGTTCTAAAAGGTTCCCAAAGTCTACATCATTCCTTCAGATATTACTAACATCCCGTTTAACTCGGTAATTAGTAATATTCTCAAGAAAAACTCGTCTGAGTGTAGTATCGTGTGACAACCACTTCCGGTTTGCTCTGTCATAGTTTCCGCACTACACCCAAAAGGCCAAGATGGCTTAAGGGTTCTACGGTCCTCAGCTTCAGTAGGCTCATAGGCGAAATCAACATATTTTCCCGATTTTTCTATAAACGAATACTATAGTCAAAGGGGCCTCCATTGAGTGGGGGATCTCATGTCTCCTTTTTTGGGATTCCTCCCTCAAAGTTAACATGACTATACGGCCCGTCCTATCTTAAGTTTGCCCAAGTCCGGGTAGAAGACTTATGAGAAATCACCCAACACCCTTAAAACTAGGAAAATCCAGATAAACATATATACAACTTATAATATTCAACAAATAATAGCACATACACAATATAAACAAAGATAGGCTCAACCAACTTAGAGATGGACCAGAAATTGGTCGATGATTTTCCCCAGTGAAGTCGCCCTTTTTTCTGTAGCAGTAGAAATGCTGAGACTAGGCTAATGGATTGACTTAACTCACATAGATCAAATAAAAAGGCCACTGCGCTTTATTGTTTCCAGAGGAATGGGAAAGAGCGAATAACCCAAAAAATAGGGGGAGAGGATCTAGATACGGGGGTTGGTTATGTATAGGGAAGGTATTAGCACCCTAAATATCTATGGAACTCCACAGGAACCTCTTTGAAAATTTGTGTATTTTGGCTATAAGTGTTGTATAAAAAAATTGATGGTGGAAAATAAAATGAAAATAAAAGATCAAGTGAGAAAAATAAAAATGAAATAAAGATAAATACTCAAGTGAGCAACGATAAAAATAGCATGAAATGTAAATGCTATAGT